TTTCAGAAAGGTAAGAAAACACATTTTTCAACGGAAATGTTTTCAAAAGAAAAAGACTATGGCAATTTCCTGTTTACTGCCAATTTTATTTATAAAACCGGATCTACCCTATAACCTTTGAATAAGTCAACATAAACCACGTGTCTTGAATTTAAATTACATTAACATTAGTAGGGGTGATGAAGACGCCACCACTTGTCAGTGGAGAGCTGCAAATTTTGACTTTTACTCGGGTGCGGCCATTGAGCAGGGAGGGCTCTTTTTCGTGCCAGCAATTTCTGCGACACGGCTGGGTCCTCATGCATTTTCTCCGGTCTCATCCAAACGACCGGTCTCCACCTAGTCCCACAGTGAGATTCGAACCTGCGACGTAAGGAAAAACTCCTGCTATACATTTCTGAAAGGAACCACAAAAACGATGTTGGTGAAAACTTGAAAGATTGGACTAGTGATAAGTTACGAATCGCCCGAAGAATGCCGCCTTCGGTTGTAGGCGGCGAATTTCCAGTTTTCGCTGTGGTGTTGGTTCTGCTTTTTTCGGCCTGGCACGTAAAATATTACAATCGTAAACTAGAGGTACTGTGAGCAATGAGCTCACTAAATGATACCCCCCGCCTCCCATAATGTCGATGTGTTGCTTTATATTGTTTTACGGTAATGTGTAAAGAGGAATAACTCGTCTTATGAAGTGTTATCCAGAAGCTTCTATTATGTGACGTCATAGGTAAACAAAAAATGGCAATGTCCATGTTTTGTGGAAACCTGTGTCGAATAAAAAAGTAAAATAGGAGGTGCACAATGGCAATATGTAATAAAGATTCTGTGAAAGTTTCATTAAATTTCACTCAGTAGTATAAGAGGAGTTGCGGATAAGAGAAAAAGCGTAACAGACGGACGGAAACGGACGTACAGACGGACGGACGGACGGAAATCCCGATCACTATATACCCTCCCGCTTTTCAAGCGGGGGGTATAATAAAAAGCCTAGGAACATTTTGGATTATGGTTAAGAGGAGTTGTGCAGTGCTGGCAATACAACGTGCAGGACTGACTGTTGACTTGGTGACGGGCGGGCCATAAAAATATAGTCCAGACTTAGTACGGTGTAATAATACCTGTGCAGTATATTACGAACTTAAGGGACTTTAATCTGGGGCTTGGACGTCAATGTACAGACCTCGGGCTCGGTCATCGCTATCTTTTGGTATCTGAAGTAAGGTGATTCGGAGTTATTGTTATGTAACTAGTTTGATTCAGGTACGAAGCAAAAGGGTGGGGGGCCTGCCCCCTTTTTTCCCAACAAAACTTTTACTATTGAAATGAAAGGCTGTTTGCTGAAAGGAGTTGACATTAGAAAGACTTGGCCTCTAAACCCCCCCCCCCCCCCCCCTGTTGACAATAGGCCCTTTTAGTGTAGTATTAAGAATATTTCAGTAGAAAACTGCAAAGCGGGAACCATGCTTTTTAATTTGTTTCTAAACACACTGAGAACCAGTTTACAAAATAATATTTAAGATTTCAAATTAAGATTGTAAAATGACAAAACAAATGATTAAAATAATCAGCACCCCCCAAATAGAATTTTCGAGTTTGGACAATATTTTTTTTATGCCCCCGTAAACGAAGTTTCTGGGGTATGTAGTTTTTGTCGTGTCTGTCTTTCTCTCTGTCTGTCTGTCCGCAAAAACTTTAAATTTGCCAATCACTTTTGATTTGGTGGAGCTATGACTTTCATATTTCAGATGTATATTTCTTATGATAAGACCTTTATTAGGGTACCACCAAATTTGACCTTGACATAGGAGTTTTTTTTCCACAAAAATTCCAAACTTTTACTTTGACCATATCGTTTGAACAGTAAATACCAGGACATTTATACTTCACAAATATATTCTTTGTGGAAAAACCTTTTATTGGATACCAACAACTTTCACCTTGGAGATTTCCGTACTTATGAAAAAACTTTAACCTTGGCCATAACTTTGAGAAGGATAGGGCTTCCATACTTCACATATGTAATCCTTGTGAGAAGACCCTTCATTGGATATCAAGAACTTTGACCTTGACCTTGGAGTTTGACCTACTTTTAAAAAGCAATCATTGATCAAAACTTTTAAAGGGTTGGGGTTAGTGCTTTTATACTTTACTTATTTAAAAAGCAATCATTGTCCCTCTCAATAACTTTTAAAGGGTTGGGGTTAGTGCTTTTATACTTTACTTATTTAATCCTTGTGCAAGACCTTTCATTTCACAGCAAGACCTTTGACCTTGGAGTTTGACCTATTTTTTAGCGTAATCTTTCTCTCTCGGGTGATGTATGTGATAGAATATTGTCGGTATTGTCTTCTTTTTCCGATTCATTTTAATCGGAGAACGGATAACAAGGCGTAAAGTAATATTTCTATGATTCATAAGAAGTTGATGCTTTCACAAATACCTTAGGTTACTGCTAAATAGACAAGGGCTTTTAACATAAATTCAAAAGTTATTTGGTTGTTTAATTTATAACAAACGAGAGTTCATTCAACCAGGACCCTTGCGTGACAGTAGCATTCAATGTGTAGATAACTGCTTATATACTCTTCATCCACCTTTGCGAGGCTACCCAAAACTAGATGAAAAACTATTGACCGTAAAAATGTATTTACAAAACTACCACTTTGCTCAATCTAAATTTTGAGTTGATTTGATTGCGGTTTTGCCATTTTATATAAATAAAAACCATTCAGACTTAACCACAAAAGATTGTATTGATTGTATATTGTTTAACGTCCCTCTCGAGAATTTTTCACTCATATGGAGACGTCACCGTATGCCGATGAAGGGCTTCAAATTTCACCTTTACTCGGCACTTAGGCCATTGAGCAGGGAGGGATTTTTATCGTGCCAACGCCTGCCGCTGACACGGGGCCTCGGTTTTTAAGGTCTCATCTGAAGGACCCGCAACTTTCACTTCAAAGTGCCGAGCGCATGGCGAAGGAACAGTTGCTACCCATTTTATCGACTGGGTCAGTCGCGGCCGAGATACAAACTCACGACCTCCCGATCACGGAGCGAGCGCTCTAGATACCGACTGAGCTACCGTGAACGGTTAACCACAAAAGAAAATGACTTCTATGAATATACCGTATAGCGGGTTATTTTAGTGGGGTGCTAATTTTAGCTTATTTTGACGTTTTGATCGTATACGTAGGCCGCTAAAATTTAAATCGCTGAAAAAGTCAGTACTCCTCTTAGTGTTCACTTGCAAAGAGCTGAAACTCTGCATGTGTCCGCTAAAATAAATTACGCCAAAAATATTGGCATACCTTTGAGCAGGCAAAACGCCAAATTTTAAACCCGCCAAGAAAACGGAATATCACAGAGAATGTATGCATGAATAATGGGTTAAGAAAATTCACTATAAAAAATAATGGACAAAATTGGTTACTTTTCTACTATAGAGTTTTTTTCTCTCTCTAAACTTAAGTACAAGTGCACCAAACACTAATGAATGCATTTTTAAAAATTTTATATTAATACCATTGTTCGTCAAGAGTGCTTAAAAAATTTGGAGTTTCTGCTTAAGATCTTATTACAACAAATTAATTACGAATTTTTGCAAAGAAAATAACTTCATATAATACCTAACCTTTGTATACGCCTGTCACATAAATATTAAATGGAGATAAAGGTGTCAACTGCCTACAATTATGTAGCTTAAGTCAGGTAGGTAAATGGAATAAGTATATCTTAGTTTAACTCCAAATGCCTCATTTATTAAATGAGATTTTTAATCATGATAATTAATCTCTTGCTGTACATTTGGTTGTGTATTTCAACATCCTTAAATTGTCACAAAATTGTACCTGTTTAACCACAAGATATCTGCTATAAATAGAATTTGTTACTTAATAAATTAATCAGTACTCGGCACTGATATAATAAAGTTAATAGTTCTTAGCCATAAAAGAAATAGCAACTGTTTCAGATAGTTCTAAAAATATATATTTATTTAAAAGTTATAATTTGTACACTTTACATAAAAAATAATGCTTTGAATATAGACATGAATAAAAATAAAACGTTATACAATGTAGAAAATGTGGCAGTTAGTAATATGCTGCAATTACACAGACATATAATACTGAAGCTGATTCATTGGCAGTGTTGATAAACACGGTAGTTAATTGTGCGTGGTGACGGATAACCCATCTTTCCTTATTTTGGATGATCCCTTCTTCTCGTTCGGAGCACCAATTTATATAAAAAGAATAAATATAAGAAAATACTCAACACTCTGAATCATAAACTCTATATAAACTATATAAAACTGTAAACGGTATTTTTTATGCTTAAAAGTGCTAAACTTAGCATTATTATATATATTAGCCATTTGATAACGACTTCTGAAATTCGGCTGATGAATGTAAAGCTTATATAACCGGTATAAAATTTCAACAATACATCAAAGCTAGTGTAATTTGTTATTGCAAGTAATACAGGAGACAAAACTCGTAAAACACTACATCCGAATAACATTATGAAAAATGCTAATTGTAAGACTATATTTTACAAAATTGCTTGTGAAAGAAGCAAAGGTAGAACCCATTATAGATATCCGATACTGATAAGATAAGATAGAATTCTAGCAGGGATTAGTCTACTCAAGAGAAATTAAGGTAAACCTCATAAAACGCAGCGGCGAACTTATTCACAATTATTGATGCGTGTCTGTGTGTTATGAAATTTGTTGATTTTTCTGTTACAAAACGGTGTCAATAGTACATTTCTGTCATGTTTTGAGATATTTAGTGTTGTAACGACTCCGTGTCATATGTGGAACTTTTACGTTACCAAAAAAAAAAAATCGTTTTGAACCAGATAGTGCGACACTGATTTAATTCACGATGTTTTATAAGCACTGTGTTATATTGAATAATGAAATCAAATGAAAGAAAAAAAACTTTTCGAAGTCCTTCGAAAATTAATTATTATTTATATTAAAAACACAGGTTCCCTTTTATGCATACTAATGAAATAGATTTGCATATCCCATGATTACGGAAAAGCACATTCTTGAATGCGATATCCAAAGGGGCATCGCTGCAAAGTAGTTCTACAACTGATTGATTGACCAAAAAAATCAAGGGTCAATCCTTTGAACTGTTCATGGACAAAATCAGAACGTTTTGTTTGAAACACACGTCAATGTTTCTTAACCCATTCATGCGCTTTCAGTAGAAGTTTCCAAAGAATGCGCCTCGGAAGAAGATGAACTGCCGTCGGATTTCCGAAGTAATGCTTCAAGCATATTTGTCGTCAATGTTACGGGAGATAGAACCGGAGACGGGCAGTAGTCTTCTACTTGAGATGGAGAAGAGACGGGGGTGACTTCAGCCTCTGATTCCGGTTGAAGTATTGTCATATTGTCTGCTCCAAATAAATCTAGCAAAAGGTTGCATTGATCCAAGCTTAATTCAGCACCTGATGGAGAATGGAAAAGTGAATAACTTGAATGCTCATTATTTGATCCTTCAGTCTGTTCAGACATTGGAACAATATTTTGCGGAGTTTCAGGTGATAGAGTAGAGGTCTGGTTGATGTTATTCTCAGCGTGGAGTACGTTTCCATTTTCTTCAGATCTTGAATTGGGATGTTGTCGAGAAGCTTCAATTTCTTGGGTTAGTGAAGCATTCGATGTTTTGTTCCTGTTTTTCGTGTTATCGTGCGCTAATCTCTTGCTAATAAAGTTTCTTAAACCTGCTTTTGCCGACTTGGTTGTGATTTTACCTGAATGTTGAGTGTCTGCATTCGATTGTCTTTCGAACGTTTCATTCGTCGATTTTTCATCGGATTTCCTAGTTTGCGGCAGACTGCTTTTCATAAAATCTTCCACCATTGCATCAATTTCGCAAAGCCTCCTTCTGGGTCGCTTCTTCCTCTTTGTCTGACTGCGATCAATATCTTCCGTTAATCCATATAATTTCATCTTCAGTTCCAGTTGCTGAAATAGATATGGACATTGCTTTTAAATTTAGAAGTGCTTTAATAAGAAAAATTACAAAAACAAAAATCAGGATATTGCATAAAACTTTATCTTAACAATAGAAATGGATAAAATGATCGATATATTTAAAAAATTAAGTGAAAATCATGAATATGTGTGTAATATATTGTTTGAGAAATAACTTACAAATATTCTAATCAACATTTTCTGGTATTTCGCTTCCATCGCTTTTTGGTTTGCTTCAAACGAAATAAGTTTCTGTTTGTCCTTTTTTAATTCCTTCACATATTCCACTGACGCTTTCAGGATGGAACCTTTGTTCAATTTCATTGCTCTTAAAATAAAATAAAAAAATACTTTAAAAAGAGAGAAAAACAAAGATATAGATAGAATATCTAAATCAGTCACAATAGATGACTGAATCACTTACCAGTTAAAACTTAAATCACTCTTTAAGACAAAAACTATATATATATATATATATATATATATATATATATATATATATATATATATATATATATATATATATATATATATATATTAAGACAATTTTTTTATTGTGTGTAATTTTCCTTACTTTCTAAAAAAGATATCATTAAGATAAACATTATAATTAATTTTTTAAACTCATCTGTTACATAGAAATTTTTATAATATGATACAAAATACTAAGCAAAATTTTTTTTTGTAATATATGTTACAAAGTACTAAGCAAAAATATATCATATGTGAACAACACAAATGACTTTTAAAAAAAATACTTACGGATGAGTATTGGGCGGTAAAAGTGTGGCCAACTCTTGAATTCTGTCATTTATATTGTATCTTCGCCTTCGCTCAACTAATAAATAAAATTTAAAACATCTATATTGAAATAACAAAAAATGAAATGTAGTCAGCGATTTTCTGAAGTTATTAGCCAATCAGATAAACTCCTTTTTATCCAAGAAAAGGTTACATTTGATTATAAAAAAATATTTCTAAATCTGTTTACTTTATAAAATAGTATTCATATCACAGTGTGTACTATTGATATTATCAAAAGCACAAATGTGTACTGACTGATGTAATTAATAATATGTAACTTAGGTTGATATTATTGATAATTTGAGATAATATGGGTGCATGCCTACTTTCCTTTTTTTATTTTATTGATAAAGTTGAATATATTTGGACTGGATGGTGTAATTGACAATATGGGTGTATATTTAAGGACAGACGAGACGTTCCTCAAGAATATATAATTTTTCCCAAGATTTTGTCATTAAAAAATTACTACTTCAACATGTTTATTCGCAAAAAAATTGAGATACCTTACCAGGCATTTGTGCGAGATACCAGAAGGTGGCATTTCTTATATAATCCTTTAGGAAAAAAAACTTAGTTTGCCAAAATCACATTTTTAGTGTTTCAATTTTTTAAAAACAATTAGAAACCGGTTTAGAAATAGTAAGTAATTAAAATTTCGTATATATTTTTTTCAAACATTGTGAAGATATACAAAACAGATATATAGGGAACGTATCATCTGACCTTAATGACATTGATAATTCGGGTATTTACGGAGTGACGCACTTTGTGATGTCCTACTGTGTACTTACTAATGTTATGATTATCCTTCTTTATTCTTTCTTTTTTCCACGTTCTTTCTTCTTCTTTTGACGAAAATGTCACGGGTTGATTTCCGTCACTGTTAGACCTGCTCTAGAAATAAAAATAAATTCATAGAAAATATATTATTTTATCTACTAAAAGTAACACGTGTATGTTTATTCATAAAATGAAATTCAACCTTCAAAAATAAATTATATAAATACTTGTGTAAATAAGTATGTTTGTTATAAATACATGTAATAGGCAATGCATTCATAGCAAATAATTAATATATCTTATCATTAGTAAACATGTTCGTAATTGTCTTAGGAAAATGGAAAGCTGAAAAGTTATGAATGAAAAGTCAAATATATACTTGTATGAATTAGTCTCTTCGTTTTTGAAAATAAATAATGAACCTTGAGTCATAACGTTTTAATGCTTTTTTCGCAAATAGCATACTGTTTTCATATTGTTTATGAATGAAAAATTGCACAGATTCCAATCTTGGTAATGAGTTTATGTGAAAAATGCTCTCTTGAAAGGTCTAGTATTAGGACATCAACTTTAAAGAATGATAATAATATTCTTTTCCTCCTTTGATTATTTTTTTTTCTTTCAGAAACTTCGTTAGGAAATTGTTCAGTGATATGGGAAAATGAAAGGAAGTCTAGTCGCACTGAATATATGTACCGCGGTAAGTGGTAACCTACTATTGTGCGTGTCACGGCCTGTTCAATACAATGGAGATCCTCGTCATATGATGAATCAATCTGGACCGAGTTCATAACATCACCAATTAGGTTGTCAACCTGGAAAAGATAAATGAATTGAAATTTTAGGGAAACTCGTAGGAATATCTTAACGTATAGGTGAACAACCGAAATTCATTGGAGTGCTTGACCACATGAACTTGAGGCATGAAGTTTTCATGTTATTTTTAACTCTTACTTATAATAAAAGACATGTTAATTCAAGAAAAACTTATATCATGTCATGTCAACGTCTTTTTTTTTTTCAAAAGACGTCGCCATGGTTTTTCAATTTATGATTAGTGTGTAAAATTAACCCAATACAAAAATTATTATGCTATCAAAAAAGATATATTCTGGATACTAAATTTAATAAAAATTGCAAAGTTTTCTCTTTAAAATTTTATATTATATGAAAACTATTGTAAGTTAACTTTGATAGGTACGAAATATTTTCGCATAATATGGCTACATACATCTTCAATATCCTCCATATTTGTAATGGCTTGACGTAATTCATGAGAAAGAGGCATAATCTCCTGCGACTCTCCCTGTGATTCTTTGATTAGAGTCGAAAGAACAGATTCGACATGCTCAAACTCAGATACTGGTGAATAACTTTGTCCTGCCAAAAGCGTCTGTACATTTGAGGACTCTGTGATGCTTGGAGTTGCAGTACTGACTGGTGTTTCTTCATTCGTATTAGTCTGGAAAATAATATGGCACATTAAATTCTGAAAACAGTAACGGGGTATTATGAGGGACGGTTGCCGTATGTTATCTTCTATTTCATTTGAAAAATTAATTTTAAGATATTGAAGGCCCGGATGTTTATCAATGAAACATAAAACATGAAAAATCCCTTGTGGGCCTTGTCGAATGCACAATTTAAAATAAAACGCATTTAAATGAATATGAATGAAAATAACGTAAGCGGGTACATTGATCTGTCCCATCTAGTACCCAAAGTGAACGAATATTGTTTGACGATCTTGATAACAAGAGCATCAATTCGTAGATAATGCTCGAGGTGACCTAAGGAACATCCTAGCAGCTGGACCGGCTAGAACACATGTCGAAATGCTGAGGATAATGCTTGAAAGATAAATGCCTACACATGGTTTGTTTTGATTGAACTCCCTTTAAGTGCTTTTACTCGCACCGAGACGCCACTGGCTGCCTGTAGAGGACTGTAAATTCATTACTTAAATTTGGCACTTTAGGCCTTTGAGTGGATATCGAACCTACAACGTTATTATTACTCTTCACAATTGTCTAGAAAATTGGTCCATAATATTAAAATATCAAATCTTATTTTTATTTTTATACATTGTATATTTAATTGCAATACATTTTACATTACGGAAACAAGTTAGAATAATAACAAATATTCAATTCAATATCCCTATAAAATTACATTTTTTCCGTTGCGCGCGCACTCAGCAACACACTCACAAGCGCTATATATTGATATCTTCGCCAACTTTGTTGGTATAGGGCAGTAAAATGGGTATTATATTGCACATGATAAACAAAAATTTCGATGACGTATCACATTTAAGCTTACATAAGGTGCACAGGGTCACGTAAGAAAGCACTACTGCATCGAAGTGTAAGAATTTTCTTTGTATCAAAACTACTAAATCGGAAGAAAATTTGAGGTCATAATAATCAAATTGAGCATTCTCTTCAACCTTTTCACGATCTCCCAGGAGGCAATCTCGTCTTTCTCTTCTCGATGCACATTTATATTATAAATTCTAATTCAAGATGTGAATTCGGTCGAAAAAAAAACCAAATAAGCATAACCAAACACCACGAAACAGATATTTTACGATGCAGTAAGGTGTAGATACTTTGTTTAATATCTTTGTAATTTTACTCTTCTCCTTTATAGCTCATAATAAGCAATGTTTTGATGCTATCTATTACTTTTATCCGTGGTCTTTATCAAGCAATTCTTCAGGCCCGCTAAAAAGGATATTCTCCTCAGTGGCTTTAAAAGGATATATCGAGTAAAAAGAGTTTTGTGGTTGTTTACATATAAACTTTTTTGCTTACATAATCAATTCTTAAGGTCAGACACCACGTTCTTCAAATATACTTAGTGAGCCTCTTAATATTTTATCGAAAAATATTTATATTTGTCATTCTCTTGTGATTTCTACATTGTTTTCAATATGTTTATAAATGTACATGTAAGTACACCAAAAATTATGATGTAGGCCATTCAGAAGATTACCCATAAGCTTAAGAATTATATAAGGAATATCATCCTCTGGTATCTTGTCAAAATGCCTGGTAAGGTACCTTAAATTTTGTTTTGCAAGGAAACTTATTTTAATACCCATACTGCAGTGACAAAATCTTGAGAAAAAAATAAATACTCGTATTTTTGAGGAACGTGTCGTTTGACCTTAATCTACACTAGCGTGCACTGACTGCCACGTGTTTTTATTTCTTACACCTTAGACTAAAACTATCGGAACTTTTTAGCTCATGTATTATTTATTTAGTCAAACAAAAGACACTTATATTATCACACTTGAGACGTCTGATACCAAACCAAATTTAATACGTTCCTGATTTATGATGTTAGTGACTTATTTCAACAAGTTTACATAATCAACAGATAATTAACAGGAGTAAGAATTTTAGAACAAAACTTTATTAATTCTTGTTATCTAAGAAATGACTTCTTTGAATATTTTTTATTTCTGGTATTTTTATCGCGCATTTTATGGACTTCCATCGAAATAGATGCACTTTGTCTTAGCACATTATTTTTTTAGTATATACATGTATTAATTAAAATCATTAGCAAATCAAAAAATAATAAGAAGGTTTAGATTAAGTTAAGTTTTTAAAAATATCCATTGATACTTCTAATTTTTAGCTTGCAAAATAAACCTTCAAAATATGTCGATATATATTTATTGCTTTACTAATTTACTATTGTTTTTTATGCAATACTATAACGAAATTTTAATTTTTTGACTGTTTAAAAATAAAAAAAATACGTATATATCAAAACCAACTTCATCAAAAATTCTTCCTTTTTAGTCAGATAAAAATTGGATAATTCGGGCGATTCCTTTGAAGCTATTGAATATAATGTATTTCTTTAAATCAAAGTAAATATATAAATGTACCTTGTTAACAAAATCCATAGAACAAAATTGATTTGAATCATCATGTTTTGCTTCACAAGTATCTTCCTTATATTCTGTCTTAAATCCATCTCTGTACTGTTTGTCCATTTGTTTTAATTGATTACGGATAGCCTGCAATTGCTTGCTTGCTTGAAACATCGAAGACATGTTATATTTTTACAATTAAGTCCCAAGTAAATGCAGAAAACTAATTCCCTGTTGTTGCGGATTTTCAATGACTCTGTACTGCGAATGCAGTGTACAAGACACTAATGGTTGCAGGGGACGTCAATTTTTTCTTTAAATATGCAGTCAAACGAGTCAGCAAATTTGTGGAAACTCTTCAGCAAAAAAATAAATCTGTGAAGGTAAAATTGTGTAACATAGCACTGACATTTGTCTCCGCCCATCGGTTTCATAATTATTGTAAATGCGTACTTTAAGAGATAGCCTATAATTGTCGCATCTTAGACCTCTTCTAAAATTTACGATACCTTTTATTGTGATCTGATCCTTCCTTCGTCATAATCATGAATCCAGTAATTACTATCGACGAGTTTTTTCACCTTTGCTCAGATCTGACGAGTTCTCTTCAAGGTAACGAATGTACCTGTACGGAAAAAATAATTTGTTTTAATAAAAATTGTTTTCTTGGTACTTAATATTTCTAATGTGCAAACGTCATTAATTATACTCTATTTAATATATTTGCTGTAAGAAGTTTGGAAATTAAATTTCAGTGACCTTGGTTGATCAAGTAGTGTCCAGTCCTTTGGATCACGAAACATCTTAAGATAAAGTCAATCTTTTCTATATATTCGATCAATGCATACTATCTTTGCAAGATATATAACTGTATTGTTTGTGTTATAATGATACAACATTATTGTTCATGATAAGAGTAAAGTTGTGTATGTCATATACGTTGAAGAAATCAAAAATAACGTCAAAATATCATTAGAAAACTTTTGCAAAAAAAAATATCAATTTTGTTTCACAGAAAGTCATTCTTTTTTTTTTCACCAATGAATTGATAATACTATATCAACAATTGTATTAAGTACATGTTTATAGTCCGTTAATTATCATACAATTTGTTCTTAAAGAAAAAATTAATCATTCTGTGTGTGTGTATTATTAAATGACGGAACTTTGTAAACTGTAGGGTATATGTGGCAAAACGAGAACTGCATGGGTTGGAGATTCGGGTTCGTGTTGAAGTTCAGCATACCATTATATATAGAACTTGAATAATGTAAGTAATTTCTGCGACAAATATATTAGTATATTTCAGTTATTTTCAAAACAAAAAAATGTTTTAAATTGAGATTTTAAGTTTAAGTTTGTTTAATGTTGCAGATGCAAATGTTAGAACAACTATATAAAGTTCAACAGGGATTGTATAATTTTTATTAATCAGAATTCGTATTTATATGATAAGAAAAGAAAAACAGTAAAGCAAAATGAGCTCGCTGGATGCGTGTGACAGCTCCATTGCACGTGTGTAGACCAAGGCTACAGGTACATGTAGGCCTATGTGTACAGACCGTAATGCTATGGAATCACGATATTTACAGCAGTTCCATAATTAGACAGTGCAGTTTTTTTTTTTTATTAACGTCATTATAAACACTGTTAAACATATTAAATCTAACAGTCGAATATCTTTGGATATGGGGTAACCCATATCTATTCTTGTTATGTTTGTGTTATAATGTTGCAGAAGTCAAGCTGTCCAAAATTTAAAAAAAATTCAATTTTGTTTCACAGAGAGTTTTTTTTTACATGTATCTGCATATTTAGAGACAAATGCAACAATTAATTTGCATTCTATTTGCAATAAAATAAATCGAGACTTAAGTTTAAGTTTGTTTAATGATACCGGAACCTGCATAACAGTAAAGCATGACTAGACTTGGTCAATTAAACAGACATTTGAATTCATTTTTCCGAGGAGAAATAACCCGAAAACGGAGCCATTATCACAAAAATAAAAATATTTTCCTTATCAATTATTCGACCTGTTGAAAAGCAAAACTTTTATTTGATCGGAGAAAATCATTAATTTTATTGAAAATTCCATTTCTTTTATTTTTTTATTTATTTATTTTTTTAAAAGCATGTAAATTTTCATATCTTTATTATATATATAACAAGCTTTAAAAATAGCTGTCAGGAGCTCTCTCTTATAAAATATTAACACACTTCTGCTTCTGAAATTTAATACATCTAAATAATGTTATGTAAGTTGTTAGAATAAAGAATTGACCCTATACAAAAATTAAGACATTGTGACCTAGCACAGCCTGTCCGTCAATTTTCGACTTCAGTAACTATACTGAATTGACCAAAAAAAAGGAGTTGATATTTTCCATTTTCTTGAGTACATCTAGCTGGTGTCATGTCACCCGCGCACTAATAAAGATTGAAAACATTACGGGTCATGGAACAATGTGATTTTATTATCTTTTAGTGCTTGTTAAAAAAAAAAAATCACTTAGCCGTGTGAACCAAGGTCTCGTGTTAGGTGCTGGCACGAAAAAAAATTTCTCAGCGCAGTCCAAGGCCAGATCTACATTTGTAGACCTTTATCAGCTCCATGAAATAATGGATTTTTTTTTAATTTCGGATGTGAATTCTTTACCTTTCTTTGGCTACTAACATATTTCGCCTCTCGAGTTTGACCATGGAGTTCCACCCACTCATGCAAAAATTACCAAACTATAACCTTGGTCATACTTTTTGAGCAGTTGGTGCAAGGGCTTTCATAATTCACATTTGTATTTATTGTGCCAAAACCTTTCTTTGGGTATAAATGTTAATTTGACCTTGACCTAAAAGAGTTTCATCCAATCAAAAAAAAAAGAACCTTGGCCATCTTCTGGGAAAGCCGTCCTTTGGATATCAATTATTTGACATTGATCCCTCTTTGAGAAACGACTCTTTTTTTTATTTCTTGACGTTTTATACGGGGCAATAGTATTTAACAAATACGATTTGTTTCTATACATATTGGATCTATAAAGTGATACCAACTGTCAGTATTTCAAACCATGCAGAAAATAGATTAAAATTATTTAAATCATGAACCCCATACTTTTGATTGGTCTATACATATGTAACAGATCACACTTCCATATCAAAAATTATAATATAACGGAATTCTTCTGAACCGTAGAATCACAGTTAGTCGTACTGGTATGCAAGAATCCCTACTATATCGCAATATTTAATAGTGGTCCGTGAGTTAAAGCTGGATACATCAAAAATCAAATTTCTACTAGAAAATAGGTAAGAAAAGATATTTGCCAAAAAAGAATTTCCATTTTTGGTTATCTTATTAACTTGGGCAAATTATTATGGATCATATTTTGCCATCAAAGCTTTATCAAGTAGGAGGATTCCAGTTTTATGCCCCCCCTTGGGGTTTGGAAAGGGCTAAGTAGAGGTTATTTTTTGTACACAAAATAGAAGAAAATCGTTTATTTATAAAATTCTTCTTCCTTGTCATTTAGGATTTTTAAGCCCTGACAGTATAATTATGTATAGCATGCCATCCCATGCAGTAAGGATACCAGTAAGTTCATGGTTCACAGGGTAAGACACAAAATTACGAGGGGTGATCAAAAAGTTCGCAAACTAATTGAATAACTTCCATACAAGAAACAATATTTGCTTTTAATGTTGATTATATTTTATATTAATCCTCAACGATTTTAATGCACATCAACCACCGTTCTGCGCATGCGCGAATCACGTGATATTGGCGGTCACGTGACCCCCTCCGTAGCGTTCTGCCACAAAAGCTAAAAGATTTTTCCAAGTTTTATATTTCTTTCCATGTGAGTTAATTTTTATGACAAGAACAGTTAATTTGTCAGAAATGGTCATATCTCGGCAACAGAATGGGTGGATAATAACATCCTTTCCAAAAATAAGCATGGCGACCATTAAAACACAAATCTTCTGTCTCAGGAGAGACCTTTATTCAAGGTGGATAGAGAATGGGTGCATCCTTTTTATCATATCTAATATGTTTAAAATCTAAAGTAAACGATATCTTAGGTATTTAATACTTATATCATTGTTCAAATATTCAAATATTTTTCAAAGTGCTAATTGGAGGTCTTTGATAGCAAATTGCTTAATTAAAAATACATATCTTTTCAAACTTGCTTTCACTGGGCAATATGACAAGTATCATTTTTAACCATCAGCCTTCCTTCACTAAAACGATTAATCCAATCATTAATTGAATTTATAGGAACTCATTTATCTCAATAAACTGTGTACAAATTATTATATGATACTGTAGAGGGATTTCTAAGATATTACAAAAAATTGTACAGTCGTTTGTTGAACGAGTTCGACTGAGACAACCATTTTTCGTCACAAGTGACCTAAATAGTGACGTCATTTTTACATTGTGACTAATACTAATGAACAAACAGGTGAGCTGGATGGCCTCGATCCCTTTTTACAACTACATGTAATTAATTGCTTGTTACAATTTAAATTGTTTTTGTTGATTAATATTCAACCAAGTACATGTATTAACGTTTTCTTCCCGGTCCCGACGATCACGTGGCAGCGTTTTGTATGATTTAGGAGCATAAATAAACTTTACATCTTAATCGTATTTAAAATAGCAATGTACTCAGCGGGGAAAAATTCAAATTTTTATTGGTTCAGGGAATCAAAGGTTGCAACTTTTGCCTCCTATTAACTGCACATAATTAGCCTAATGGAATATATTTAAAATTGAAACTTACACAACAAAAATGACAACTGACAATCTTTGATATTAAAACAGTCATTAGGCAAATTTATTTGACAGTGGTCCTATTTTTTTTTTTACACATGAATAACCAAATGTTGGACTCTAAGTATGAATCTAAAAAATGCTACAATCATATATCATGCTAATACACATTTTCTCGTATCTTCTTTTGTCATGAAAAGGAAATTATATCTTTCGTAACCGTTGAATAATTACAAATCGGTTTAAGTCTCAACATTTAAAAGCAGAATCATAGAATTAGATGACCATTTTATTCTAAGAGGGAAAGGAGGAATTGAATTTTTGAGTCAGATTAGGTATATACAAGCCAGGTTAGAACAGGCTACTTTTTTTAAATGATAAAGGGCAGGCTATTTTTCTTCTTCACTGAAAAAAGTTGGACAAGCCAAAAAACAAAAAAAAGAAAAACCCGCCCAACTCCGAACCCCATTTCCTTTGGGGAGATGCAGGGGGTATATATATCAATCGCAAAGAACAGATTTATATTTTCC